CTTTTCTCATTTGAGTTTCTACTCCCTTCCCTCCTCCTGCTTCCCCACCTTCCCCCATCCAAGCTCCCCATCCATTCCTCAGAGAGGGTAAGGCTTCCCATGAGGAATCAACAAAATCTGACACATCACTCTGAGGTAGGACCGAGGTTTTCCTCCCTATATCTAGGCTGAGCAAGGTATCCCTCCAAAAAGAATGGGTTCCAAAAGGCCAGTTCAAGCACTAGGGATAAATCCTGGTCCCACTGCCAGTGGCCCCACAGACTGCCTCAGCCACACAACTGCCCCTCACATTCAGAGGGCCTAGTTTGGTCCTATGCAGGTTTCCCCACTATCAGTCCAGAGTTGGTGAGCTCTCACTAGCTCAGATCAGCTGTTTCTGTGGGTGTCCCTATTATGACCCCTTTGCTCATATTGTTGCTCCTTCCTCTCTTGTACTGGACTCCAGCAGCTCAGCCCAGTGACCCAGATGCTGTGGATCTCTGCATCTACTTCCATCAGTTGCTAGATGAAGGTTCTTATGATGACAATTAAGGTATTCATCAATCTGATTACAGGAGAAGGCCAGTTCAGGTACCCACTCCACTATTGCTTAGGGTCTTAGCTGGGGTCATCCTTGTGGATTCCTGAGAATTTTCCCAGTGCCAGGTTTCTCACTAGCTCCATACTAGATCAATTTTAAGTATTGTTTTGTTAGATGTTGCCAAACTCCCCTACCCAGGGCTTGTTCTTTCATTTCCCATAAATAAAAAATTTCATATTGAACTCTTCAGTGTTTGACAGTAAGAAAGATGGGAAATAAAATATCAGTTTTACACTTCTTTTATGAGAGACTAGAAATGTACCTTTATATGTTTAAAGACCACTTAGCTCAAGTCTATCCATAGTTCTGGCTCAAAGAATAATTTGATTGTGACCATTAATTATGTCTCTTAATGGGATTTTTTTTTCAGGAATTACTCAGAGAACCAAACAACCCTTATTTCTGGATGTGCTCTGAGCACACGTCTCGATGATGTAGGCACTAAGTTCTTCAGACTGGGTATGCGGGTAGTATACAGACTCCTGAAGTTCTGCCCGCACAGAACAAGAGGATGGAGTGTGAATTCCCTCTTTCTGCTTGGCCTGGAAAGCCCATTTTCTTCTTTGGAGCTCTTGGCTCGCCTTCTGACGTAAATTGAGTTGTACCACCAATTTTCTTCATCTCCAAAGAAGACGGCATATCCTGAAACTTCTCAGTCTCCTCACTCACGTGAACAGTTCTTGTAACATGCCAGCTCTTCCTTATCTCCATGCCCTCTATTGGTTCTCTTTCTCAGGAGAATCCCGACTAACCCAGTGTTTCTTTTCCAACCCTCTTCTGTTATATACCAGAGGCTTTATTTTATCGACCCTTTGGTTTTCCCTTATCACGGCTATTCACTAACATGCCTAATGGCTTCCCCCCTCTACTTTTCTCAGACTGCGGTTCTCTGCTGAAAAACAATTACACCCTATTGAGCAAATACCCATTAAAAAGTGCTTTTTCTCTTATAAGGTTCTATATGAATCCACCTTAATTTATTAACCAATTTTTAACCCGGTGCAGTTCTGGTTTAAAAACTAGCTCTGAATTACATCTATTTTACTGGTAATAACCTGGAATAGTTGCTGAGAATGCCAATTACATTCTCTCTCCACTATATTGGACATTGGATTTCAAAATTCACTGAGTAAGTTTAGCCAGTAACCTCAAAATGTTTTTTGGACAGTTTTTGACAGGTTGATTGCTGACCTAAACATAGCCTTCTTTGGATCAGGTACTCACACATAGTTCCAGAGGTCCTGGTGAGAGTCTGAGGGTATTTAATAGAAGGTATGGATGCTTGCAGTATGAATTTCTCAGGAAAGAGGTGTGTACAAGGCTTCCCAGGGTTGGCTTGTGCAGTCTAAACATAGAAGGAAAATATTATAGAATTTACACGGTCATTTCACATATGAGAAGACTGCTAAGCTTACTGATGCCAAAGTCGTGTGTCGCTGTCAGGATTCAGTCCTTGAAGTTGGGGTCAGTGCATTTTGGTTCTGTGATATTGCGTCTTGCCAATTTTCCATGGATGCTTTGATCTAACCCTTTGGTTTTGAGCATATTTACCATTGATATTTTGTAGACTAAGTATAGAAAAACAATTTCACCCTATTGAGTAAATACCCATTAAAAAGTGCTTTTTCTTTTATAGGGGTCTGTATGAATCTGCCTTAATTTATTGACCAGTTTAGTGCAGTTCTGGTTTAAAAACTAGCCCTGAATTACATCTATTTTACTGATATTAACCTGGGATAGTTGTTGGGAGCTGGTCCCTGATCCTCTGCCTGCTGCTGCTCTGAGCACGAGACCCTGATGGCAGGCTGATGAGTCTGCAGCTGAAAGATCCCGAGAGCTGGGCGTGGCTAAGGATCCCTGTATAAGCTGCCCCTGAGCACAATAAAGTAAGACATTTGCCATTCTTGTATCAAGGATGACCCATGTCCAGGTCTCTCTGAGTGTCTCTGTCTGTGTGTGCGTGTGATTTTAAGTCTCCAGGCTGAGTTCCCAGCTCACGTACAGTCTTGTAGTGACACAGGAGCTATAGGACCATCGGGATTTTACAGGACTGGTAGGTTTTTACAGATAGGTTTTTGTGTTTATCGTGTATTACTTAGATACGAAAGTGTTTTACCTACTGTCCTTTCATTTTTGGAAAGCTTTGTCGCTCAATTCTTCTTCCATTTACCCCTCTTAGTCTTTCCAGTTGTAAAAGTTAATTTTTCTGATATTGTTTCTTAAAGATAAATTTTTAAATATTTTGTTTATTTGTTAGTTTTTCCTGAGGCTGTTTTTAAACCATTAAAAGTTTTATTGTTGTTGCTTGTTATTTCTTATTTTAAAAATACTTAAATTTTCTGGTGCTGGGGATCAAGCATGACTTCGTATATGGTAGGCAGATATGGTGCTGTAGGGCGGAGAGGTAACTCTGAGCAGTTCCAAGCAGTCTTTACCTCACATATGATTTTCGGGGCAGTTTTATGCTGTGAAAACATTGCATGATTTTTTTTTAAAGATTTATTTACTTATTATGTACACAACATTCCTTCCATGTATGCTTGCATGCCAGAAGAGGGCACCAGATCTCATTATAGATGGCTGTGAGCCACCATGTGGTTGCTGGGAATTGAACTCAGGACCTCTGGAAGAGCAGTCAGTGCTCTTAACCTCTGAGCCATCTCTCCAGCCCCCATTGCATGATTTTTTAGTTGATTCTTACACCACTCTTTGGCCTTGGTGTTTTCTCTCTTGTCAAGTTCAGTGCTGTATTTCTTGGTCACTATTTTTCTGTTAACTATTTTCATTATAAATTGGAAAAATAGCTGTCATTTTTAACTGCTCTACTTTCTCAGGATAACAACGAAGAATAAACAAAGAACAAAGTCAGAAGATTTCAGTGAGTGTGGGGGAAAACATTCCCCATAGCTGGGAGAATCTCCTAGAGTGTTCTAACCATGGATGTATCCCATGACACTACTAGGTATTTCTTTTCTTTCTCTTTCAAGTGGTTTGGGTCCATCAGAACAGACTCTTTTCCTCACAAAAGTACAAGTAAAGAAAGGAATGGCCGTCCTGAATTCATGGGTAAGGATCAGGAAAAACATCTACCCAATGAAAGCAGCCATTGCTGCTTGACTCTATCAGGGGGACAAGGTCTTGCTTTGCTGACCTTGGCTTCTAAAGTCTGTGCTGTCTTGGGGCTTGGGCAGGAGATGGAAAGGAGTGACCTTTCACCCTCTTCTATGTCTATCCAAGTTCCCTAGGCTTGGAGAAGCTCCCAGGCATTTCTTCATTTCCCCTACAGAGCATAAACCTCCCTGGAGCCTATTCTTGTCTAGAATCCAAGGACTGTGTGTCAATTAAGGCTCTTGGAAGTCATGATCCCTTGTCTCTCAAATGTCTCCAACTTCAACTTTGGAAATAGTTGTCTTATGTTCTTCTCAGCCCAGGAGTGTTACTAAGGCCATGGTGTCCACTGGGATTTGTTTGCATCATCAACAACACCAAAGGAACATGGGAAGCATTGGGAAAAAAAAACAAGTAAAAATGACTGTAGAGTAGCTGTCAAATTTTGTAGTGAATTGAGCATCAGATGTTGATTCTAGCTGTGGGACTCCCTAGAAAGATGGTCCGCCATGTTGTCCTGATGCGACCTTCCTCCAGTCTATCTTCAATGAGTTGCAGTCGGTACGGATCTGAGGTACAACCTCTTGAGGACGCTTCACATGACTGAGCCTGAGATAAAACATCTTCCCCTTTCTCATTTCCATAAAAACATGAGCTTTAAACTGCAGATCTTCGCTTATACTGGCAGACATTTTAAGCTGCTGACTCTCTGAAAGCAAAGTTGTTAATGACCTTACACTTCTCTTTCCAACTTGGTCCTGATCCTACCTCAGGGTGCCTTGCTTTGGATCTGACCTTGAACCTTCTTGCAGTTTCTCAGACACTGGTTATTGAATTAGTTTTGACTATAGCTCATGCGATCCTGCTGACCCGAGATGGCTCCAGGTAAAGATTCTAACACTTCCGTCTGGCTCCTGTCCCACTTTGAAGGGCACATCCATTACTGGGTTTACTTTAACCTTTGTTTGTGATTTTTCTTAATAACAAATGGTTTGCCAACCCTTTTGTACCCAGCTTGTATCTTATAGATGCAACATAATTTCTTCATATCCACTAGAGTAGGAATACAATAGATTGGAAACTATATGAGCCAGAAAGATGTAATCTGAGCCCATTTACCACATGCTAGCTTGGTGAATATATTTCTCTGTGCTTAAGTAAAATAAAGGTTAAGAAAATCCAATACTATGCTGCAGGAGTTATGAAGATAGAATACAATGATGGAGGCTATTTTTCTTCTCTGATTGGAATCAATTATTTGTGTCTATTATTTCACAGATCTTAATCCATTTATTCCTTATCCTGTTTTAAGGGCCCAGAACTACTGACTTCTAATCTTGTAGATATTTGCATGTGAGTCACGTGTTCTACTTGATGACTTCTGAAGTGGAGGACTGCTTTAAGGCACAAGGTCACCACTAAGCATCAGCTGTACATCACTCAAATGAAGGTATGCAGGGTCCTCAGAAGCAAGTTTTTTTTTTTTGTGGGGGGGAAGCAGGGCTTAATCTGTGAATCTTTAGACTTCCTATTAGAGTCACTGATATTCAGCATTAACAAAGACTTGATTCTCCAGGCCTGGCTTCCATTAAACTCTTGAGGGGTGCAACAAACATAGTTGTTACCAGCTCAGGCATTGATGCTGGCCAACGTTTGAGTTCTAAACTTATTCTCTTATGATTGAGAATGTCCATAACCTTGAAATTTTCTTCAAATTTCTCTAATGCTCATTTTTGACTCATGAAATGTAGGTAGCACAATAGCACCTACCATATAAGTTAAGAGGTAGAGATGACAGAAACAGTGCAATTTAGCCCTAATCTCTGGACACTGTCTATAGACATTCTTAGGTTGTTCCTTGTCATGATTTTCATCTTGTTTGCAATTTCATTAAGAGAAATGTATCATTTCTAGCAAATATGAATGTACTGGAAACCAAATGATTAGAAGGTAGCAGTAAAATGTTGTATGACTGAGGATATTCCATGTGCCTGTCTGAACAATCATGTTTAATGTAGGCCTTTGCAATTATATACTTTCCTTACGAAATGGAAGAGATCCCTCCATAAAATTTGGTTGGAAAAATCAAAGCTGTTGATATGGTTTGTACTAATAAAACTACTCCCCTTGAGGCAAGGTTTTATTGTGTAGCACAGACTTGTCTCAAACTCAGGATTCTCCTGCCTTAGCTTCTTAGATAATTGCATTCTTATTTTGAGATAGAAGTAGTGACGTTAAGTCACTCACATCTTCAGCGGCTAAGGTGCAGGGCTTACAGTGTTTGAGGGTAAGGGGTGGGAGAACACTTCAAGTTTCCCACTTGGCACCAAAGGAGGATGTGAAGTCAGGGGACTTCTTTTCAGCCTATGCAATGTGGCTAAAGGGAAGCGGAGGAAGATGCTGAAAAACAAAACAAAACAAAAAACAAAAAAACCCAAACAAATCCACAATCAAACAAAAAATGAAGTTGTACTGGGCACGGTGACTTATGCCTACAATTCCAGCATTCAGAAGTGGAAGGCAGGGAATCACTACGAATTTAAGGCCAATTTAAGCTGTATAGTGCGTCCTTAATAGCTTAGGAGACAGAGTGAGACCTTGTTTCAAAGAGCAAACAATAATAACAGCAGAAGCAATAACAAAAAGACCAGAGTCTGTTGAAATTGCTTCTGAGGGACATAAAAATTAAGCACCGTTCAGGACCATGTTACAGAACTGAATCACTGCCACAGTTCTGTAGCTAATACGTCACCAAAGTCAGGTTGTATAAAATTTTCTTTCACTCTAAGATGAACAGAATGAAGTATAACACAATTAAAAATTAGCTATTGGAAATTCTATTCCAGAACTTCATAATGTATAAAGGGAAGTTTTGACCAGATCTTTGGATGTTTAAACTGTGTTCTTGGAGTGAAGACCTTGGTCATGAACACAAGACTTCTACTGCTTACCAACCTCAGTCTGTCTTTATGAATCCTTAAGAGGATCTGCCAGGCTGCAGAGGTGGAGCTCACATCACATTTCTTTTGTCATTTCACCCATCAAGGTGCCTTGATGCCTGGATTCTCTTCAAGGACATTTGAAGGGCAGGCCAGCAGATGCTTCTGGAGCTTGGCTATAAATACCAAAACTAAAGCTGTTTAACTTTAAGAAAGTATTTTCCTATGTGAAAACTCACTCCTTGGGGATAACATTATAATAAAAACAAATTCCACAAGGGAAGTTTGTGTCACTTGACTATTCTTTGACAATAAACGATGAAGCAAATATTGTCTTTGAAATGCATTGTTAGCATTGCTGATTGTTTTCCTAAGTGTGTTTACCAACCCTGATGATTCCATGGAGGGCTTTGCAGCATAGAGTTATCATGGCTCCTGAAAGTCTCTTCAGTCTCCATGCAAAATGTGTTCCCTCCTTTTTTGTGCCATGCATCATTGTGTAACGTGTCCATGTGCACAGTGTCTTGGTTAGGGTTTCTATTGCCGTGAAGAGACACCATGACCATGGTGACTCTTACAAAAGAAAATATTTAATTGAAGTAGTGACTTATAGTTTCAGACGTTTAGTCCAGTATCATCATGGCAGGGAGCACGGAGACTGGGAGTATGGTGGCGTGCAGGCAGACATGGTGCTAGAAAACTACACCTTGATCCAAAGGCAATGGGAAGTGAACTGTGCAAGTGGGAGTAGGAGCTATGACTCTTGAGTATAGGAGACCTCAAAGCCCACCTCCACAGTGACACACTTCCTTCAATAAGGCCACACCCACTTCAACAAGGCCATGCCTCCTAATGGTGTCACTCCCTGTGGGAGCCATTTTCTTTCAAGCTACCATACACAGCATATTGTTATTGTCAGTCTTTTCTTCTTCCTGTCTTAACTGTGAGCTCCATGCGGGCAGGGACTACAGTTCCCATCATTCACCAGTCTTTGTTCCCTATTCAGTCTTGCCCGCTATACAGTTGAGTGTTCCTCTCCAGTGAGTCCTAGTGTTTCTTGAACACAACTGAGCAATGATGGTGCAGGTGATCTTCTGCTCTGGAGGTTCAGCTGTTCTCAAGTAGATCATCTTTGTTTGAGATACAATCTCTCTCATTTTACAATAGAAGTCCCACGCCTTCTAAGCCTTCGTCTTGCCTAGATGACAATGGCATTGACATGTGAAGGTGCCATCTGAAGAGATGATCTAGCTCTTCTGCACTCGCATCACCAGCGTCAGCACTACTGTTTTGCCCAGGCAAGGTGTATGGCCCATGTACTGGGTGGTTTTGTGTGTCACCTTGACACAGAATAGAGTCATCAGGGGAAGGAGCCTCAGTTGAGGAAATGTCTCCTTGAGATCCAACTGTAAGGCATTTTCTCGGCTAGTGATCAATGGGAGAGGGCTCAGAGGTGGGGGTTGGTGCCATCCTGGGCTGTTGGTCCTGGGTTGTATAAGAAGGTAGACTGAGTAACCTATGGGAAGCAAGCCAGTAAACACCTTCCCCAAATGGCCTCTGTATGTCAGCTCTTGCCTCTGGGATCCTGTTCTGTATGAGTTCCTATCCTGACTTATTCAGTGATGAGCAGCAATCCTGAAGTATAAGGCAAATAAATCCTTTCCTCTACAACTTGTCTTTTGGTCATGGTGTTTCCTTGCCGCAATAGAAACCCTAACTAAGATAAGATAGTCTATCCCTCCCAATTGCTGTAGTTGGTGAGGGACAGGGCCAGCTCTTCTACTGTTATGTCCCTGAGACCAGCACTCCTGCCTGTTGCAGTTGGCAAGAGGTAGAGGGGAGGGCAGATTTCCTTCGCCCATTTCACCACTTGGCATATGAGGGCGGGGCAGGTGCTGTTTCCCTGTTCCTATGTTCACAGGATCAGCTCTCCTGTGCTCCAATGAATAGGGTCAACTGCAGTGTGCTCCCCAGGTGAGGTGGAGCATCCACTCTCCCATTTGCTGCAGCCAGTGAGGGGCAGAGCCAGCTCTACCCATTTTGTAACCCCAGAGCCAGCTCTCCTGCTTGCTGCAGTTGGCAAGACGCAAGGGGGCTAGGGGAGGGCATCTTTCACTCACCCATGCCTCCACAGGGCAGACAAAGGGGCGGGGTCAGTTCTCTGGCTCTCAGGCCCTCCTGACTGGCTCACTTGTGCCCCTACCAAGAGGGTGCCCGGGTGAGGTGCAGTGCCAATTCTCCCATTCTCATGACCTCAAGGGAAGCTCTCCCATCCACTATGGGTGTTGAGGGATGGGGGAGGGGAGGTCTTCTCTCCTTGTCCACTCCACGGTATGACGGATGAGGGATGGAGCCAGATCTTCCATATATTTCTTTAGGGGGTCACATAAGTGTTTTTTACACACAATCTTTCTCTTTTTCTTTCTTCACTGACCTAAAATCTAGGTCTTTGGCAGACCTCAGCTTGGATATTGCTTCTTCGGAAGGTTTTACTCAGCTATTTTGCTCCTGGATATCTTTTACTGTTTTCTCTCAGGGTATGCTATGCTTTTCCTTCAGGATGTGGATTAACACTTGCAATTCAAGGTTTGCCGATTTGACATTTATTTTTCTTCCTCCACACTGAAAGCTCCGTAAGAACAGAGACACTGTCAGTCAGCTGTGTATTTAAGCAGCACTTTGATAACTGCATATGAAATATTCACCAAATACTTTTTTGGATTAAAGAACCTAGGATCATTTATCTCCAATGTAATGATGGGTAGAAGTAGGGGCTTAGATGTGTCATATCATGTAAGAGAGTGAGGAAAAAGATTATATAACTGTTTTTTCATCTGCTGAGTTACACAAATGTCAAGGATTTGACTTTAGACTTGAGTTCAATCCACATTGGAGTTTAAGACATAGAGAAGTATGCTTGGCAAACAAGAATAGATTTAAAGGTGACCAAATTATAGAAAGAAAAAAAAAAACTCCAGGTGTCTAATAAGCAAGTCACCTTGGGGTTTCAGAATACCAGTGCAATTGACATTTTGGCTTGAACAAGGCTCCGATGCAGGGTTTTCTTACGCATTGAGCCCTGCTTTGTATCAATTATTTCAGCAGCGCACCCTTTCCAGGTTTGAAAGTTACAATAGTGCCTGATGCAAGGAGATGGACAGCAGGGTCTTCCTTATCCCATCCTCCCTACAGGCTTGAATGAATACTGGAAGATAGGTCTTAGGTCACTAGTGACGACACTGCTTCTGGTTTATGCATTCATGTTGTAACAATCCTCCCTGCAGCTAAACCGAACAGGTGAAGCACTATTTCCTCCTGGATTCTAGGAGCAGGGGTTCTGTTTCACACAGGCTGTGACATTTTGGACTCTGACTCAGTGTCACAGGTCCTCTGTGAAGCTGTCAGGATCTGGGGTGACTCTGGCTGCCTCATGGAATCTGAAGTATGCCATTCCTAAGGATTATCCCTCTGCCAACTATTTGGAAGAAAGATTGTAGTGAATGCTTGATTTCCTGTAATCAAGCCAGCAGCAGAAGCCGCACACGGTGAAGAACATGGAATTTTGTAATGGAGTTGATAAGACTATGTTTGAGGCTTTTTAGCCCCATGCTTTGCAATTTGCAAGGTTTTCATGTTCATCTGGATTCATCAACTCTTCACAGAAATCGTACAGAGATATGAATATATACTTTTGTTTTTATTTTTGAGACAAGTTTTCTCTGTGTAGCCCTGGCTGTCCTGTAACTCGCTCTGTAGACCAGGCTGTCCTTGAACTCTGGGATTCACCTGCCTCTGCCTCCTCCAGAGTACTGGATTAAAGTCGTGTGCTACTACCACCTCACACTCTTTCTCTTTTTAAAACAGGGTCTCACTGTAGCTCTTGGTATCTTGGAACTCCCTACATAGACCAGCATGATCTTGAACTCATACCGGCCGGAGGCTTACCTTTGTCTCACAAGTGCAGGGATTGAAGGCATATATGATTCTTGATCAGTATGCATTTTACATATAAAGCAATTGCTGAAGCCACCACCTTCCGGTCTGGAATCAGGTCCTTGGCTCCAAGGTAAACCATGAGGTTTCCTTTCAGTGAAATCCCTGATCACCTGCTCAGTCAGAAGGACAGTTTTCTCAAGTTGGACTACGTTTGTAGGAAAGGAAGCCACTCAGTTTAGTGCTCCTGGGTTAATTTTTCCCTCTACTTTTCCTTGTTATCCCCTGCTCCCCTTCTCCTCCTTGTCTATAATCTGAGACTCTCCTGCCTTAGCCTTGGGAGTGCTGAGATACAGGTAAACCTCAGGATAACAGGCATGTGCCACCCCACTCAACCTATTTAACTTCTTTAAAACTGTTGTTATTAACTCTTTGAAAAGTGAACACATGCACACAGTATATTTTGATCATATTAATCCGTAACTTCTCCCCTAACTCCTCCCAGGTTTTCCCCTTCCCACTTTCTTACTCTTCCCAATTTGAAGAAAAAAAAAATAACCCATTGAGTCAAATTTGTGCTGGTCGCATATTCTTGGGAGTGAGGTCATCTACTGGAGCAGAAGGTGGTAGACCTATCAGGGTCCTCATCCTTAAGGAACATGGACTCTCCTTCCCTCAGAAGCCATCAACTGTCAACAGCTCCTTAGGTGGGGACAAGGGTACATATGCCCTTCTTCTGTTCGTACTGGTATGTTGGCTGGCTTGATCTTACGCAGATCTTAGACAAGCAACCACAGCTGCAGTGAGGTCACGAGTACCGCACTCTTAAATTCTTAGCACTTCTTACTTTCCTATTCTCTAAGACTTTCTAATGCCTACTCGTTTTGTACTGGATTACAGTTTTATCTCCTTTGGGTGACCCTGCCTGCATCCCTCAGGGCTAGATGAGGCTCTCTGTTTGGCATTCCTCGACGTTTCCTTTGGCACACACCCTCCACGTCTATATTCACAGACCTTCTGCTGGTCGTCAGGATAGGTGAGGAGAGCATGGAAAACCTGACTATTGTGCATTTTATTCCCAATGCACTGAGCTGTCTGTCGGAGAGATGGGGAGACTTCTTGTTAATCTCCTGTCCATGTTCTTCAGACTGTATGTTCCAGAAAGGCGAAGGCTGGAAGTGTTTTGTTCACTGTTATATTGTTGATGGTAATGTAATGACTTGTATACAGTGGATAGTAAATACCGTTTGAATTGGTTTTTTCTCAATGACTTTTCTTTTGCAAAAGAGTAATGTTGTTTTGGAAAACTTGGTAAGGGGCTGTAATTAGATGCACATGCATTGCCCTTTCAGTGTTTGATAGTAGCTAGGTACTCAAAAGAACAAATGCAGAAAGAGGGTAGTCCTTCCAACTAACTAATCAGAATAAAGAACCCTTATAATTGTACTAAAACATGTACATGTACAAAATCCAAATTTTCATTTTGTACTAAAGGTCGGTCAGTGTTCCACTATACTGGTCGTGAGTGCAGGGATTAATATACATTTATTCAACAAGCATGTGTGGAAGTGTTTCTGTGTGTCATGTAATAGCCAAGGAATTAGTCACATAAAGATGACTAAGGGTTGGGCTCTGGGCTTGAGAACTGTCTGTTAAGTATCTAGTATGAGTTCACCTTTATTCTGGAGCAAGTGCTCCCACAGATGAGCAATGTTATACCTGCCCTTCAGAGACAGTCCCGGAGTCCGGAGACACACAAGCTATCAATCACTAAGCAAATAATAAGAGCTTTGATGACTGCCTGGGTGAGATAATGGTTTCCTAGCCAGATGTGGGTGTGGTCGTGGATGATTTCCAGTGTCTGCCGAAGATTAAACAGGGGCCCAGTAGTTAAGCATACAGCACACGTTCTATTTACCATTAGAGATGTAGGCGTGTAGTCAAGTGCACTTAGGGGCACCACCCGTAAGAGACGAACGTGAGGTTAGTTAAATACCAGTGGGCCCTTCTGAAGAGTGCATGGCCCATTCTTGCAGGGTGGGACCCAAGTGTGGAAAGCAACAGGACCGAAATCAAGAAAGGTCGGTCAGTGTTCCACTATACTGGTCACGAGTGCAGGGATTAACTGCTGTCCCATCATTCAGGGATACCTTGAGTCATGAGTTTTCATATCAACTAGATACAAAGCTCAAATTCTACATTTGTTTGAAGTTTCCCTATCTACTCAAGGCAGGCCAGAGGACTGTTTCTGCACATTTACCAGGTAGCTTCCTTCACTTAAACTGTTTCTCACTGGATTATAGTGATATGGCTTCTGTGAGTGCCCGAGGACTTGGAAAACACTTTTTGCTTTGACTCTTCGGACCCAGCACAGACTTGGGTACATAGCAGGTGCTTATTATGACTCTATCAGTATTATTATTATTATTAATTATTATTATTATTATTATTATTATTATTATTATTATTATTATTAAGAATGGAAGCAGCTGCCAGCATTGCTGGGGGCAGTGGTACACTTCACTTTTGATGTAACTGGTCATTTCCAGAGACCTAGAAAGATGAGATGTGATCAGAGAGAGATGTGAGGGACATATTTTTAAATGTAGTGTTGCATCTTCAGAGTGATGGATGCAAACTATCTGAAGTGTGAAGAATTCATTCCTTGACAGTCATGTGCTTTGTAAGGCCGCGGTTCACTGTGACTATATTCTTAGCCATGTGCTGCATAACAGGCAAAAGGGATTCTTCAGTGTAGGATAGGTAGTGCTGCAGAGTTGGTGTCCATTCACCGTTGTCAAGGATTTTCAGTGCTAAGCAAAAAGCTCCAGATGCAATTTGAGAAGGAGGAAAGTGCACCATGTCGTACTCCAGCATCGTGAGCTCCATGAGGTATTTGGCCAAAATATGTTGTTCAACATCAACCTCTCCAATTTTAGATGCTCTACGGAGGAAGTGCAGAGGCAGAGGGTGACCCAAACTGAAGTTCAGAACTCTCAGAATCTTCATTTCCATCTGTCTGATTTGGTGCTTGGTGTAAGTATTGTTAGTCACAAAAGCAAAGTCACCTATTTCTGGAGGGTACATTTCTTCATATTTACTTGCAATAAACATAGCCGTCACACCAACCAGCTGCAGCATCTTCTTGGGCACACAATTATCCTGCATGAACCGGTCAATAATGGAAACAGTCATGTACATGGTCTCCTGGAGCAGCCTAAATTTCATCTGAACCTGGATGAGCCAGTCAATTAGGATGACTCTCATGTTTCCAGTGACTTATGCAACCTCCAAGCATGCAAAGATCAGCACTCTGGCACAGCTGAATTGTACACTGGTTCAAAATTTGTCCAAGGCTGTGGCAAAGGCATAACTCAAGTAGACCGCCACTACATCTGCAAATGCGATTGGCACCATGTGCCGCCTGTACACAGTATATATTATTTGCCTGTTCTTCAATAAAGGTCATTTTACTTTCATAGCTCAAAAAAAAAAAAAAAAAAAGAATCCATTCCTCTTCATCTAGTGGCGAATGCGAAGGGTATTGTAGGGTAGTACAGTGACACCTAGTGGTTGAAAAAAGATCTTCCAGTTCTACCCCAGGAAGTTTTCCTCCCTGATACATCTTGGACTATATTCCAGATGTAGTCTTTGTCTCGTCATATGCTTTACTTAGGAACTTCTCCATTGACTTCTTCTGTAGCAAGTTCCCCAGCTTCTGCTTCCCAGCAGACAGTCTCAAGCACTATGGCTGCACCATGTAGGGAGGAGCTGTCTCCTGCCTCCTGTAATCCAAAGCACTGCAAGATGCTCCAGAGATGTGTTCTTGTTGTCTGTCTGGAGTCCTCTTCTGCAATTTGCTTTTGAGGATTAACTTTGTACTTGAAAAATCCTTAATTTTATTTGGTGCTTCTTAAATGTGTCCCTGAGAAGGTCATCATTTCAAGGGCAAGTGAAGGCATGCAGAAAGTGATAAAATGCAAAATGAATTGTTAGTCATCGCAATTAACAAACACACTCATATGATTACTTATATGACGATGATTGCAAGTACATGGGGAATATTGTCGAGGTCTTCTGAGTCTTGTACTTTGCTATGTACTTTATTATTTAATACACTACTCCAAGGTAGATGCAGCTGTGCTTGGGGAAACAGGCTCAGTGCCTTGCTCAAGTGGCACAGCAGACTACAAAGTGCTTGAGCTCACGACTCTTGTTCTGGCTCCTGCTGTTTACATTGGCTAGGTACAGAACCTTAGACTTATCAGGCTCACACAAATGCTGGCTGACGTTGACATGGGGAGCATGATGTCATTGTCTTCAGAAAGGGGAGGCCTTTGGCTCCACCATTTATTTCTTTATGCTGTCTTCAGATATAATGCAGAAAAAGTCATTCCCATTAGGGACTCAGGAAAATATGCCACACTCTCTCCATGTATAGGAAAGGTGACTGTTCTTTGATTTATACTATTATCTCAATTTTCTTATTTGTAAATTGGGGATAAAAACACAACTTCAGGTAAAACGGTATATAAATGATCATTAGAGGCATGAGCCATGTTCTAAGTTGTTAATAGATATGGGTGATGTTGTTTATATGATGTATTACTATTGTATATTGATAATAGTGTTCACTTCCAGGTGAAAGGTAGACCAGTACTCTAGCAAGCAATATTGTGGTCTTCCATATTTGAATCCTATATTTCAAAGGTGAAAAGGAGTCAGGTAGACCTCTCTCTTGACAACACTTGACTTTAAGTCTCTTTCACTGTGGGTGAGAAAACTTGTGAAAGTCAGAAGCTGAATGTTACGTGTTTATATTTCAACTCAGAACCCGCACAGACAGATGCCTCTGCTTAGGATCCCTATTGTCCATTAAGGCGCCACACCAATCTGTTGTGCCTGGACAGGGGATAAGCTACAGACTTGTTTGTTGCTAGCCTGTAGTAAGATGGATTTACAAACTGACATAAATCTCTAAAAATTCCAAATATTTTATAGTTATTTTTATTCCTATTAAATCTAAGAATAAAAAACCATGGTTTTAATTTTTTCTATTCATTTACTTATGACATTTGTTTAAATTTCATTTCCCATAAGTGGGAGTATGTAAATAGAAATTAAAAGATGCTGAACAAGGGTTATTTGTGAAGTCTTGCTTTCTATCTAAAAAGTGGATGATGTCTAGACTTTTATATAGGAAGGATCCTTCCAAAGCCTAGGGAAATGTGACCATTTCCTTTTTAGGGATAACATCATAATATATTGTGAAGGGTTTGACTTTGACAGGCCACAAGCTGACGCAAAAACTCTTGCCATGGGCCCACTTTCTAGTTGCAAACTCAGGCCATACAGTGCTTATTTTCTCCAGTAACACAGTTTGCTCCTAGGTAATCCCTGACTTTCACTTGTAAATATGGGAATAAGTCGTAATATTTAAAATATGTAACCCAACAGGTAAGTTTTTATCATAAACTTGTGAAATTGGGGTCAGAAAGAGTTTAAGTCACACAAGTAGAACATCTTAGAATGGATTTAAAACCGGGTTTATTTCCTCCAAGAGCTCATGGTCTTTACATGACCACAGTTAGTTTGGTGTGACTACGCTCATTCCCAAGGTTCTACAAAATATACCACAATCTTGTCAGAGACAACTGAGGGATTTGGAGGAGGGGAGCAGAAGGAAAGGCAAGCACACACTCTTGTGTGTGTAGTGGGGCAGTGTGACTATGAGCCGACAGTGTTAAGCATTGTTGCCAGACATTCTTAAGTGTGGAAGCGTATGTCCCTACCCTGACTCATATGTCCAAGTTCTAACTACTAACACCTCAGAAGAGAATGCTCTTGGGAGACATATCTTAAAGGTATTCAGATTAAAATGAGACTGTGTAATGTTCTCTTATCTAATATGGCTAATGTCATTACAGGGGAAGATTTGGAGGCAGAAACTCAGAGGGAAAGTACTGTGACAGCATGGAGCCAGATGGCCATCTGTAGCCAAAGGGAAAGCTTGGGACCTGTCCATCCTATCACAACCTTCTAAAGAACCAACCCTGCTCACATCTCAGCCTTGGAGTATCGACCTTCAGTATTGTGAGACAATATAACTCTCTGTTGTTCAAGACACCCAATAGCGCCCTTGGCATAGAAATACAGAGGTTCTGGAATACACGCACTCTGACATGACCATTGATATGACAGAATCATTAAAGGTGTCCCTTCAGGGTAAGAGGATCCCCTGCTGCCTAGATTGAGGCCCCACCATTGATACATACTTATCAAGTAGTCAAGGCAGGGAGAGAGAAGTTTCTATGCAAGTCTGTCACATTTCTAGCCCATGCACACACCCCCAGTTTCATGCTTTCTGTTGACTGTCTGACTGTAGGCCATTCTTACTGGCCTGACCTCCCTAGAGAGATTGTCAGATGGTCACCAGACACAACTTCACTAATGTTAAATATGTGCTTTGATTTGTATTGGTGCATTGTATACTGTTGAATATATAAATAATGTTGCCTTAGCGCAGGCCACTGTCAGCTTCCTTTAGGAGGCAAGTGGGTAGTCTACAGATTCTATATAGAATTCCTCTGAGTTTTGTGGAAAGCAAAAGCTGTTGTCCGTCAGCAGGCTGCTTGTGGAAGCAACCATCTGTGTTAAACAGCCATGCATGGATGTGTGGGAGGTCACAGAAAACAGGGCAGAGTCAAATGTCCCGCCTGGAAAAGGGATGTTTCCTAAATGCTGACTAACTTTCACTGGTTGGGGTTTGTCCTGACTTTATAAACTTTTCTGGAGGTGTCTTAGGGACTGCACCGGTCACCCTATGATAAAAAAACACTTTACATTCGCGGGTACAAGCACAACTCTGGGGAATGTATCTTTTTATCAGCCATGAAGGTAGGTATTGCCAGATGGTCTGTAAAGATGGTGACAGTTGTCCACTGATAGTCTACATTATTCTCTTATTGGCAGATAAATTTATAATCACCGTGTGGTTTAAACAGCAAACATGTCTGGGATCTAACCCTGAAATAATGATTCAGTATGTGTCTAGGAATTTGTATTTTATAAAATTCTTTGTGACTATAATATGAACTCAGACCTCTATATTGCTATTATATAATATAACATATAATAAATAGCATATGTTATATTAAACTTGTAGTATATTGCATAATATAGTGCACACATATGCACACACATATGATTGACTAATATTCATTTATCATTTTACCTATTCCAGAAAATGGGCCAACAGTAAAGTACACAGGCATCAAAGTCGTGCTTTTTGTCCTCAGAAGTCTGTTTTAAAGAAAAACCAAACTGGTAACAGATACTTACTGTAAAGTGTCCTAATTGCTTGCCCAGAATTAGGCCTAGGAGGACTGACGACATTGAATCTGCTTTTAGACTGGTTTGGGATTGGTTTTCAATGGGACTTACATTTCTGTATCATAGTCCATAATTGAAGGAACTCAGGATAGGAACTCAAACAGGGCAGGGACCTGGAAGCAGGAGCTGATGAGAGGCCGTGGAGGGGTGCTGCTTACTGGGTTGCTCCTCATGGCTTGTTCAGCCTGCTTTCTTAAAGAAGCTAGGACCATCAGCCCAGGGATAACACAATCCACAATGGGCTTGGCCCTTCCCCGTAAATCTCCAATTAAGAAAATGCTCTACAGGCTTGCTTCCAGAAAAATCTTAGGAGGCATTTTCTTAACTGGAGTTCCCTCTCCTTAGATGACTTTAGCTTGCGTCAAGTTGCCATGAAACTATTCAGTACAAGTTCCCAGCATTTATCTTTGAAAACTGGGATGCAATAAGAATAATTATAGTAGGATTCCTTCAGCAACCCAGGCCCTCACTCAGTGACTTGTTACTGCTCGTAAGTTTACAGGCAGCTGAGGCACTTTATTGGTCTTGGCTGCTTTCTTGCACATGTTTGGAGAATTGGCAGGGACAATCCAGCTTTGCTCTGTGTGGTCTTCTCAGGGTAATGAACTCTTCTTGTAACAACATTTGAGAGATCAGAAATATGGGAGACTTTTTGTTTCTGAGTTTCAGGTTGTCTGATTGGGAGAGAGGGAAGTCACCAAAGGCTCTAAGGGCACAGATGTAAATTAGCTAGTTATCAGGGCCATTACAACATCCTGCCGCTTCAGCCATTATTGACTGCGAAGACTTGAGCTGAATTCTTGGAAACAAGGTGTGCTTCATTTCTCCATGATGGTCTTATTTTGGTAATAAGAAAACAGCCTAGAAAAATATATAAATTGGGATTTTGTATCAATAAAAACATTGTCATATATACCAATTGATCAAGGATTAAAGGAATCCTGCATTGAGGGTATGAATAGATTTCTTTTTTATTTTAGCCTTTATTTATTCTATCACTCACACACACACACACATGTATATATATATATATATATATATATAATCACATTCTAACAAAATTGAATTCATTAACATTTTGCCTTAATATTACTTAAACTTTTACTTTGGGATATCAAATTTCATGGAATGTCAGGTACATGACTTCAAGCCATTATTAGGACATCATATTTAAAAAAAACATATTGAGGATCTGGGGAGATGGTACGGTGTGGAAAGCAGTTGCTGCACAATCGTGGGGGTCTGAATTGACTAATATTTCTAAGCAAAGAAATATCTGTAAATTTAAGGGGCCAATTTCCTTGGGAAGGAAAGAATGTTGTTTAGTTGTTATTAAGACGATCACAGCTCAGTAGAAACGTGGACAATGACCATAAACAGAAAATCTATTGAAAGAGAAAAGTTAATGACACACATTAAACTCACAGCTGCTTTCCAAGGTGAAAAAAAATGCCAAATGTAAAGAATGACATATTTTATCAGAGTCGTGAAGACTTTTAGGTGCCGTGGTATCCAGTGTTTCTTCAGGATATGAGGAAAGGCCCAAAATTGGAAGCTCTCTCTGTGGCTAGTGGGAGAATAAAGTAGTGTGATATATTTAGAGAGCAATTTTGGCAACACTGATAAAAATAAACATGTGCTATTTGACTTGGTGTTTTTATTTTTGGGAGTTTTTCTTAAATTTGGAGCACATCAGTTTGCAGAGATGTATACAGCGATGTTCACTGCAATATTGCTCCTGTAAGCGAAGGAATGAAAATGCGGTAAGACATATTAGACAGTGGATTAAGGCCATTGTCTTTCATAATGCTACCCATTATGACGTATGGCTAATACCCATTAATGAATGAAAATGCCTGTCAGATTCTGTCTAATATGGAGCGCAGGTGTCAAGGACAGTGAAGAGCATCTCACTGCCCTGCCACCAAATGATCTCTACGACATCGTGGGGAATGTGTAGTAAGTCTGGGAATGGAATATGTCATTTTTATTTATGTAAAAATAAAGACACAGCCACTCTTGTGCCAATCTAGAATATTTTGCAAAGTTCCTACTGGCTGATTATGAGGAAAAACCAAAGCACAGGAGAGGAAAAGGGCAAACACACTTCTAACTTGATTTTCTTCTTGACTATTTGAAACACTTGCCCATGAACATGTTCTTTTATCTGAAGAAACAGAACAAGAACAGCACACACATGAAGGCGTTATTAGACTACCCTTTTCATGGCTGCGTCCTAGACTCATGGTTAGTCCATGGCTTCAGCTGCAATTCTTTTAGAGTCCTTGTGTGCATCTATTAAAAAGATGTTGTTCTTTCTCCGCTTTGATACTTAGGCATGTCTAGCAACTGTTTCCAAGGAAACCCATCTACAACCAGTTGTTATTGGAATAAGCCCCTAATGGGCCTAGGTAGGGTCTTGTCTCTTAGCAACTCAATGTTTTTTTCATTTTTATTAAAATCATACATTTCCTTAAAAGCCTGTTCATACCAAAGACATAAAGGTTGTTTTTCTTTGTTCCTGACACTCACCCCTGAAAACTGGCATTGGTGAGGAGGATGGCATTGAAAGACATTTCTCTTTCACCCATGAATGAGCACTTTGTCAATCACGTAGGTCATTGACTGTTCCCTCTGCACCTCTATGTGCCCCGTCTGGACCTCTGCTTGGCTACTTCAGGTAAAATGTCTGAAGTACAATAATGGATTCCTGGTCTGTCAACCAGTAAGGTTTGCTATCAAGTCTGGAAGAATTCAGATAAAGTCAGAACACTCATCGTCTAGGTTTTGTTTTTACCATGACTTGTCCTCCAAGCAGACGAGAGTCGCCTGTTTCTCACTAAATACCTACAAGGTACAGACCTTGTTTATCACTGTGCCTCAGGCAACTGAGTGCTATGTCTGAGCCATCCAGCATAAACTGTCCCACTGCCTGGCATGAAGAGATATGAAAGCATAGACCATGAGAGGTGCCTGCACACAGACCTGCCAACGTTCCATAACTCTTAAAGTGATCTGCTGAGAAGAAATGGTATTTCTGTGACATTTCTGAAGCAACGACAGCAACAAAAGCAAAAAAAGGAAGTAAATTCCAAATTCTTGTCTCTGACTCCATTGAGACCACCTCACCCTTTCCCTATCTCCTTATTCTTTGCAAATTCTTTGTCACTTTTACACAAATTGAATACAAATTAAGAACAAATTAAGAACAAATTAAGTTCGTGCTGTATTCTTATGCCTACTACAGTAGTTATTGCTAGTAAAAACCCATCACCAGTTTAGCATCTGGCTTGTTTGTTACTAGAGAGGAGTCTCTGAACCATTTTAGTGCCAAGACTATTCGTTGTGTGGTTTTACAGATCATGAACAGTTGAAGGACACGAGGAGCCGCTATTAATTAAACAGAGGTCTACAGGTGCCTTCTGATTCTCTATGACCCCCATCTAGGTCGTTATCCACTTGTTTGTCTTGTAATCTTACGACCATGCCTCTCCCCCGCAGGCTGGTGCTTATTCTGCAAGACTCAGTCCTGGGGGCTTTGCTGTTTATCATCTTCATAATCCTGCACCGCAGTCTCTCAAACCTTTCCTGTTACCCCCCTTCACTTCTCTTTCTTCTCACCACCCTCGCGAAGGTGACTGAACTACGAGATGAAGTGGGCTGGGTTCTCTGCTTTTCGCCTTCTCGTGACAGTCGGTCCTGGTTGTCAACTTGATTGGATTACAAGGTGCCCAAAAGATTGGTAAAAATGCACTTGTACGTCTGTTTGGGGCATTTCCAGAGACACCTATCTACGAGACTGCAGCTGAGCGTGTCGGAGTAACTTGAATGTGAGCAGCACTGTGGAATAGGCTGGGACCTGAAGCAAGGAGAGGTAGAAAAGGAAGCCAGCTGGAATGTGCAAGCCTCTTTCTTCCTGAGCAAGTATTTCCTTTGCTGCTCTTTACTGTGGACGTGTGACTCCTGATTCTTTGGCTTTTCAACCTGGATTACCCTGGTGATTCTCCAGGGAGATTTGAGGCCTTCACCCTCAGACTAGGTCTTGCTTGCCCCTTGCTCTGTGGCTTTCTGTTCTTAGATTGAGCAGCTATTAAGATTCTATGACTCTATAGCACGCAGCCAGTTGTGACTGAGCTATCCAGTCTCCAATTGTTTAGGCCAATCTGATAAAACTGGTACACTTGTGCACTCTGTGTGTGTGTGTGTGTGTGTGTGTGTATCCAAGTTAGTTTTGTGTCAAAGTGACACAAGCTAGAGTTATATGGGAAGGGGACCTTTATCAGATTACCTATAAACATATTTGTAGGGCATTTTTTAAATTAATGATTGATGTGAGAAGTATCACCCCTGGATGGTTGGTCTTGGGGTCCTGGGTTCTATAAGAAATCAAGCTGAGCGAACCACTGCAAGAAACAAGCGCACTCCCCCAAGCACCCTGTATTAGTTCTGACCTTGAAGTTTTGGCCTTCAGGTGTCTGTGTAGAGTTCCTGCCTTGGCTTCCTTCAGTGGATTGTGACTTGGGATGTGTAAGAGAAATAAACACTTTCCTTCACAAGTTAGATTTCATCAGTTTTTCTTT